TAAAGATATCTTACAACTCTTGTTCTACTACTATTGTTCATCATGCTAGAAAAACCCCAACAAACAAACAAAAACAACTTGTAAGAAGAAATAAAGATAGGTAAACAGCACCAAGAACATTTTGGTCAAATCACTGAAAGATTTCGTCATAATAAGAACAACTAATTGTGGATCATCACCCAAAGCTACAGTAATAAAAATATTACTTTAAAATTACCAATTCACAATGTGTCACCGGTCAAAAGTATTTATGTGACTTTGGAGTTTGTATTTCATTGACCTAAAACTGATAGTTGTCTCCTGAGTGACATAAAACCACATTTTGCTCTCTACCAAATTATTTATTACAGAGAAGTTATGAGTACTTTGCACCTAAGAATAAAGTGGCACATGAAAGTACATATCTCTCTGGGATACCAAGAAATGACAACTCTTACCTCCCCGTGCATTTGCACAAGTGCCTTATCAATGAAAGATTCACACCCATCCGTTTTCCAAAGTTTGATACCCAGTTCTTTTCTTTCAAGAACTGAAAAGGGATGTGACATCATATCTGTTCACAAAACCACAAACTGTTTATTACTGCTCATTGCTAGCTAGAAAAGAATGACACCCTCTCCCTTTCTTCTCTTATTTGACATCTTTTCTTATTTGACAGTCCAAACTGAGTCTTCTACCTCTAGCATGCTCAAATACATTTCAAGTTGCAGATACCCCCAAAAAATCACCTGAAATACTATTTGGACTCATCACTTCTGTGAAACCAACATGTTTTCTTTCAGATTTGCTTTAATTCATTTCCATTTCCAGTAAAGCATCAAATGAAAAACAAGCTTTATTTTCACCAATCATATTGATTAAAATACTGTGTTTCCAATTATGTGTAAAAGAATAATCTTAACATAAAAAAAATTAAATATACATGATACACATTTTTTCCAGGCTGTCATTTACAGTTTCTCTAAGACATTGCTTAGCTACTGCAATTCGACAGAACCACACCTCAGGGGGACCACCCTCTAGAACAGACCTCAAAAACTGATTGTGGGACCCATCAAATTCACTATCCGAACTCCAGAACTACTTACATTGAAAGCCCTCCAAGCTGATGTGTTTTCTTCCTTTACTCTTATTTCCTCCTCATTCTTATTTTCAAGAAATGTAGCATTTAGCTGTACAGCAATACTTTGTAACAACTCACATTTCCTCCTGTCAATCTTTCAAGCTTTCTTTCTTGTCAGCTTGGATTAGGCTCTTCATCCTTTCAAAAGTTTTGTTAAACATAGCTGCACTTACTACCTAGAAAACTTTAACTTAAAAAGGTCCTCTTACTCATTCATGACTTTTAGAAGTCATTAGTATATTTTGCTTTGAAAGTACTAACTGACTGATGATAACTAAAGTCTCAAAACTGACATAAATGCTGAAGGTAATTTAGAATTCTAAATGGTAGATTTTTCTTTACTATTACTATCACATGCAGCCTCTGAAAAAAATTGTTCGGTAAAATGTTATAACTCAAGTTGAATGAATGTGCAATAACTGATGATTAACAGTGTTTTTCTTTTTACAGACTTGTGATTTGGGGTCAGTTTTCCTGGCTAGTGTTCAGACTCCTCTAACTGGCTTGTACAAGTGTGGAGATATTTGTGGCCTGATACTGTGAGTAAGAGTCTCTAGGTTTCACAGACTTCAGTTAAACTTTAGAATATGCAGCATTTCTCAGAACTGGACTTAATTTGTGCAGGTTAAATAAAGTCACAGCAATGTCAGCAATGGTGGCCCCGGCTTTCACACTCTTGCTCTTCTCTATATGCTTCAATAAAGGAGAAGCGAGCACTCTGTTTCTCAATCAGTACAGTAATAAAAATGTAAATTAAAACTATCCTGCTATGCTATACTGAATGCAGAGTTCACATGGCTTTGGAAAACTATCATTTGAACCTGAACCTATAAGCTTTCAAACCATGATAGCAATGATGAAGCTTTAGAACAAAACTTGAAGTGTCACCTGTCACTGCCTTAGACCTAAAAATATTCACTTTTCATTATTGTGGTAATGTCTGAAACAGCATACGCTATTAATTCTATTTCTACTACTTGGTGTAATAATGAGGATACACATCTAAAAGCTGAACTATTGAGAACAAATGATTTAAATGGTACCAGAAAAAAGGACTAATTGAACAATACCAAAAAGAATCCATGTGAGATTGTTTATGTACCTTCCTCTTGTGCAGACAGTTGTATTCTCCCACAAACTTTGGTCTTTAGAAAAAAGAAGTACAGCAGGAGAAAAAAAAAAAACTGTTTTCTCCTCATTATAAAATAATGGGCCTTCAGAATTTTTTACCCAAGTAACAAACTTAGTACCAGGCTATGAGGTGTATGTGTGCATGTCTCCTTCAGCAAACAGAACTTCACTACTTGCTTATGCAGCCCAAACAGTATGGAAAATGAGATTCCATAAAATGGAATGAATGAAAACTAAATTTATAAAGTGACAGAAATTAATCTGTGTGCCTGGGATAATATCTAAACTTTGCAGATATTGAAAAGTCAAGTTTTGTAAACAAACAATTCATTCACCAGCATAATTAGCTAAACCTATCAAAAGAAAAAGTAATCAATATTTTCCCAATTGATTTGAAAAGGGATCTCTCCTTTAAAAGAATGAAAATTAATTTTAAAAGCTATGCCTAATTAGTTCGGCTGCAATTGGTAAAGTAGACATCAACTGATCTCAACTGATTTCCAGCAGATAAAACACAACAGATGTCACGTCATTTTAGGCAGAGATAAGATATTGTCAAGTCAATAAACAATATTGCTAACCTCAGACATGAGAAATAAATATTATTCTTTGTGAAGAATAGTCCACATTTTATAGAAACTGAAGACCAGAAGAATCACTTACAGATATTGCAGTTAATCATACTACATGATCTTGACTAATTTATCAAGTTCTGCCTTAAAAGTGGATACATTTCCTGAGAAGGTTACTCCTCCTGGACAGCTGCAGCCAAAACTCATTTCTCAATGTGTTAGAATTAGAATTCCATGGACAAGCAGGGAATTGAAGGCAGGCATTGCCTCCCACCCAGGCCTGTCTTCCTTCCCCTCAGTTACTGCTTCCTACTTTGCAACATCACCTCAATTATGCTTGTGTAACTGTTTTACAGGTCTGATGCCAAAATGTATCACTGGATTGGGACAGCTTAAAATAACTCAAGTTTTATCATCATAGGGAATGAAGATACTACAGAGACAGAAACATGCAGCACAGGTTTTCAACTGTTTAATCCAGCTTTTCTGAGAAGAAAAATATGTCAAAAAAATCTATAACGTCTGCAAGTAGCTTAAGAGATAAGTGAAGATGCAGGGTGTGACTGAAAAATGATAATGAATTCATTCATTCATTTTTTCTGACAGCTTACCAGATTGGTGACAAAGATATGATCTTGCTGAGAAAAAATAGTCTTACAGTGCAACTGCTCAACAATTCTCTCTGATCTTATTTCATTATAGTCCTTTAAATTCTTGTTCAAGATGTGTATTTAATGGAAAGTAGTCTTATAAGTGTGATGGAAAAAAGTTACATTACATTACAAAATAAACTTTTCTCAGGCTTAAATATCTCTGAGTCAAAAGATACAATTTTTAGAAAATCCTCTAACTTAAGGTGAGTTACTGAAGAGCAAGATGCCCTAGATTAATACAAGTCTAACCTACTCAGCTGTAAATCTGGCTTGATCAAATTAACTTACAGATGTCAAAGCTTTATGAAAGCATTTGTTTCAATATTTCTGACACTGGTATTTATAAATAGATTGCACTGTGTTGCTGTCCTCTTTACAGAACATTAAACCAGCTACCAAATTAGAAAAAAAAAAAAAAAAGAAAAATGAAAAGCG